TCTAAAACTCAGTTATTTATCTACTGGACTTTACTTATGCATCTTCACTTAATCCTCCAAGGAAAGATTAAAGGCAAATGAGGTCCAGGCAGAAGAACATCATGGCTTCAAAATCTAAGGGACTGGTTTGGACAAAACTCAACAGCAATTTTTTATGCAGTTGTTGATAAAAATAGAATCGCCAACATTATTGCCAACGTCCGATGACAGATATGACAGAAGAAGATCTCTTTGTATCAGGAAATCATAAATATTTTTTCTTGGAGCTCGGTATTTTTTTTAAAAAAAGAAGTCAAAATTGCTTTGTCTTAGGGTACACATCTTCCATCACAGTAGCATGACTATCAACTGTACCTGTTTGTATTAATGACAACATAGAAGAATAGATGATAATGACTAATTGTTATCTATATGCCTAATTAATTGAGAAAAATGAAAAATTATTTGGGTACATTTGAAAGGAAGTTTTTATTATCTATTATCTATTATTATATATAAGAGCTGTGGTGGCACAGTGGCTAGAATGCAGTATTGCATTCCCACCACCATTGGAGCACAAAATGGGAGTCATCAGAACTCTACACTACTGAGCTGAAGACCTACCTACCAGCAATGATGGGAAAGAAAAAGAACAAAAACAATCAAGGCAGCCCTCAGAACATGTAGCTATCCCAAATGGGCCTTCATCAAATCTCAAAAAAGACCCCACAGGAGCTCCTCCATAACAGACAACGAAGAGAACAATAAATGAAGCAATGTTGTCATTCTATACATAGCAGGAATATCAGAAAAGCTCAGGAGGATCTTCAGCCAACATAACATATGTGTACACTTCAAACCCAAGAATACACTAAGGCAGAAGCTTGTTCACTCCAAGGATAGAACATCCAGACACAAAATAAGCAATGTGGTATATGCAGTACAATGGAACGAGCTATGTGCAGATCTGTACATTGGGGAAACAAAACAACCACTTCATAAACACTGGCAAGTTTGAAAAAGCATCTTTGGGACAATCAAAGCACCTTTGGGACAACCATGATCTAAATGACTGAGAATCTCCGTAGACATTTGTACTTGCAAGATTCTCTTAATGTAGCTTTACAATGAAGTTGAATTAGCTCATCTGTTCTTGATTCCTGCCTGATCAATCTGGAGAGGATTTGCCTGGCAATTTTTTCCTTAATAAATCCATTCTTTCTCATTCTTTCCCCTTTGTTCTGAAAGCATTTATGAGTCTATTTTCTCTAGAATATTCCTGGTGACTAAGAGATTTTGTAAATGATACTTTGTCAATATATATTTTGTGAAAATATGACTGACAAAGTTTGCTAAATCTCTGGTTTTCATTTCTGAAGATACTGTTGTTCTCCCAATTAAGAATATTTGCAAGTTAGCAATTGTAGAACAATCAAATGTGACAAGACCGGGTGGGATAAGAAGCCAAGGTTTCTGCTTTTAAAATTCCTGTATGTTTCAATTCTAGTTCCATCCCTTCCTGAAGAAGAATGAGTTTTGCAATGTTTCCACATTCAAATGTTACTTGGACAAAAATGGAGGCATAGCAGCAGATCTGGACATCCAGAGCATCGTGGTTCTCCCCAAGAAAGATCCCATCACACTGCAACTGGGGAGATTTAAAAGGCAGAGACTTATTATCAACCAAGTTGTTCTTTCACAGCTAAAGATGCTCAATGAGGTGCATGAAATATTGACATCTTTTCTTTGTTTTCCAAAGCCTTAGATCCCATTTTAAGTGGGCTAACCCTAGTCACCAAGGTGGATAACCTTCCCAAAGAATTGAACGTGGGGAGCAGAACACTTATAATTCTAAAAAGCCAATGTACTGCATTTCAAAGGGGAATAGTTTTGCAATGTTTTATGTAGTGTCAGATCTGCCTAGGAAAGAAGGAACCTCAACCCCATTTAGTTGAAGTGATAGGTTGTTTTACTAAGGATTAGTGGTTGCAGCAAAAGCAAGGCTAGATCTGAAGTTCCCATGCAAAACATTACATTTCCCCCTCTTTCCCCAGCTTTCCCCCATCGACTGGTCCATCTCTGTCCACTAGCATGCTGTTTAGGTATTTTGGGAACAGCTTGGATGTTTGGCGCCACTTGGTGCAATTTCACATTCTGTTCCAAGTTAGGTGTCCTTGAAGACTGGAACAGGCTGGTTCTCACACTTCTGGTTTCCATCAAACCTATCACCCCTCTTTCCTCTCATCTCTAATCTCTATATTCCAATTGCCCCCTCCCCCTTAACATTTTATGACAGGATGCCAGCAAAGCGCAGAGCTGAAGATACCAGATATGACATGCAGTCTAGAGGAAACCTTTCCAGAACTACCTGTCAGAGGTTTCTTTCTTCCTCACAATTTTATTCTATGTCAATCACTCTAATACAGGAGTATTAAACTCAAGGCCCAGAGGCCAGATCCGGCCTGTGGGATGCTTAGATCTGGCCCACAGGGCTGGCCTGGAAATAGCAAAGGATCGGTCTGCTGTGCCTCCGCTAGTGAAAATGGGGCACAAGGGACCGAATGCAGTCCCACTGTGCCCCATGTTCACTGTGGACAGCCTCCTGCATCACTCTGGCAGCCAAAATGGGGCATAGGGCCTCCAGAGGCCTTCCCTGGCCCATTAGAGGCCAAAATGGAGAGGGCTCGCAACTTGGGTGTCCTCCTGGATGCACAGCTGTCTTTAGAAGAGCATATGACGGCTGTGGCCAGGGGGGGCTTTTCATCAGGTTCACCTGATTCGCCAGTTGCGTCTCTTTCTGGATCGGGACTCGTTACACACAGTCACTCAGGCACTCGTCACTTCCTGCCTGGACTACTGCAATGCTCTCTACATGGGGCTCCCCTTGAGGAGCACCTGGAGTCTCCAACTGGTGCAGAATGCAGCCGTGCAGGGGATTATGGGAGTGAGGGGGCGCTCCCATGTGACGGCTCTCCTGCATGAGCTGCATTGGCTTCCAGTGGTCTTCCAGGTGTGCTTCAAGGTGTTGCTTACCACCTTTAAAGCGCTCCATGCCATAGGACTTGGGTATTTGGGTATAGAAATAGGAACAAATATTTGCGGGACCGCCTTCTGCCGCCGATAGACTCCCACCGGCCAGTATGCTCCCATAAAGAGGGACTCCTCAGGGTGTCATCAGCCAGGCAGTGTCGGCTGGCAACTCCCAGGGGGAGGACCTTCTCTGTAGCAGCTTCTGCCCTCTGGAACGATTTGCCCCCAGAGATACGCATGATACCAGATCTCCGGGCTTTTCGCCGTGCCCTAAAAACTTTCCTTTTCCACCAAGCAGGGCTGGTGTCACCCCCCCTCCCCTTTTGAGATGTTAGATTTTTAATTGTCTATGGGTTTTAGTTGAGAAGTTTTAAATTTTGGGCCAAAGTTGTGTAATTCTTTTAAAAAATTTTAAATTTTGTATTGGAATGTTTTTTTTAGTTTTGGCTGTGTACCGCCCTAAGTCCAACAGGAGAAGGATGGTATACAAATTAAAATAAATAAATAAATAAATAAATAAATAAATGGAGCCCCCGTGTGCTGGGCATGGACTTCTGAGTCTCCATTCAGCCCTCTCCACAGACTGTGCCCCCTTTGCTAGCATCCCAGATTCCACTTATTCCTCCCCACCTCATTTCACATGTACTTACTTTTCGAAGAGCTCCAGAAGAGGCTGACCCACATTGTAAAGAAGCTGTAAGAATGTGAGATGTAAGGAAAACAGCTTTCTGACTAAAAGACCGGCTTCTCTGCCATGAGGGCCTGCAGGCTTAGTTTGGGCACAGTCTAGCCGGCAACGGGCCACCTACTGCTTGCTGCTGACTGGCTAGTTCGAATGAGGAGCTTCAAGGAGTGGGGTGTGGCAGCCAATCAACAAGGTCTTGCAGTTCAGCCTGATGATACAAAGAAAACAAGCTCCTCATTGATTGGTTGCCGCTGCCACTGCTGCCTCAATCCCTGAAGCTGTCCTGAAGCAGGAGGCTGCTGTAGCCTCGCCCAGGCCTTTTCTACTACCAGAGCCTGCTAGCCACATGGCCCCAAGCTGAAGTCTTTTATCACAAAGCTGGCAAAAATGTTTTCCTTAGATTTCACATTCTTACAGTTTCGTCATCATCTGAATCAGTGGTGGGTTGCCCTCAGTTCGCACCGGTTCTATAGAACCAGTAGTAAAACTGGCGGGAGGTTCCGCCCACTGTCCCTGATGTCATCAAAATGCTTCTGCGTGCAGCCCCACTGCGAACCGGTAGTAAAGGTAAGTAGAACCCACCCCTGATCTGAATAATAAATTGAGTGCAATTTATTTGAGATGACATCGAAACCTGACAGACACTTTGGCTTCTCTGCCAGTGGGTTAGCCTCTTTTGGAGCTCCAGAGGAACATAAAATATCTCAGTAGATTGGGGGGAGGCCTTGGATGGCCTGCTTTAGCACTAGGCCCCGCATGCTCTTCCCTCCCCTATGCAATCGAGTAACAAATGCATTGGGGAAAGCAGGGAGTGATCACGTTCATTTAACATGATTCAATCAAACAAATACTTGGGTTACAAATGTAATTGGCAGGCTCTATTTACATTCGTAACTCGAGGATTACCTGTATAATGAGAGTGAGTGAGGGTCTCAGTGAAGTCCTCCATTAGTACTTGACCACCACAGGTGCCCCCCACATGAGTCCCATATCATGCCCACCCTGGCCACACCCCCTGGCCAAGCCCCATACCCCCCCGCCCTCTGTGGTCAAACACAATCCTGATGCGGCCCTCAATGAAATCAGGTTTGACACCCCTACTCTAACAGAATAAGAAGTTAATAAATGTAATAAATAACATTTATTCTAAAATTTAATATTAATTAAACATGGATACATAAAGAACGGAGGAATGCATGTTAATGTGGCCATAAGAGGAACTCACTGGTTGTCACTTAATGGTTAAATATTTTCTCAATTCCATCCTACCATATTTTATTAAGAAGAAAAGTCCTATGTTGTAATGTAATACATCAGTAGCTTAAACTTTTAGAGAGTCATGTTTACCTAAAGTGAAACCCAGAGACTATTTTGTTAATGTTTATGTCAACTACCATTTTCCATTAATGATTTGTCTTGTTTTCTTTGATGATCCTTGGTTTTCTGCTTAGTCTTTTCCTCAGTCCCAATGTGTAGAAAATTGTCATCCTGGATTTGTCAAACAAGTTCGGCAAGGAGAGCCAGTTTGCTGTTATGACTGTGTTCCTTGTCCAGAGGGGACCTTCTCCACTCAGGAAGGTGAGTGACCCCAGAGGAAAGGGTGCTGGATTCTTCCAGAGTATTTTGATCAATGTGCATGTTAAAAGAGACACATCTAAACTTGACTATTTGGTTGTACTTAATTTTCAACATGATGCCATAATGGTAGAAATAGAGCCCTGGTGGTGCAGGAGACTAAAGCACTGTTATTAACACCAGCTGCCTGCAATTACTGCAAGTTCAAATCTCACCAGGCTCAAGGTTGACTCAGCCTTCCATCCTTTCGAGGTAGGTAAAATGAGGACCCGGTTTGTGGGGGCAATAAACTGACTTTGTATGAATATATACAAAAGTATGAAGGCTATTGCTTAATGCATTGTAAACCGCCCTGAGTCTCCAGAGAAGGGCACCATATAAATCAAATTAAAAAAAAAAAAAAGAAATAACAAAAATATCTTGAAGGATGAGAAGGCAAGATAATAGAAGGATGTTGTGGATTGGGCAAGCTTACTTCTATCAAAGGAAATCTCTTTTCTACTTGTCAGTTTTGAAGTGTCCTTTGATTTTGCCTTTCTTAGGAACACCTGAATTCTTTGAAACTTGAGGAATGATAAAAATATAATTATTTTTTGTTTTCTCAGATACTGAAAAATGCACCAAGTGCCCAGAAGATCAGTATCCAACTGAGAACAGAGTCCAATGTATCCCCAAAAGAATAATCTTCCTATCCTATGAAGAACATCTGGGAATTATCCTCGTCGCCTTTGCCCTATTCCTGTTCCTAACCACAGCCTTTGTTTTAATCCTATTCATTAAATATCGAGACACTCCCATTGTCAAAGCCAACAATCGGGATCTCTCCTACATCTTCCTGGTCTCCCTCCTGCTTTGCTTCTTGTCTCCTTTTCTCTTCATTGGTCAACCAAGGAAAGCCACCTGCCTTCTCCGACAAACCGTTTTCAGCATCATCTTCTCAGTTGGTATTTCTTCTCTCTTGGCCAAAACCATCACAGTGGTGATGGCTTTCCTGGCCACAAAACCAGGAAACCGAGTGAAAAGATGGCTGGGGAAGAGCTTGGCCAACTCCATCATACTTTCTTGTTCTGCTATCCAAATTATCATCTGTTCCATCTGGCTGGGAGTTTCTCCTCCATTCCCTGACTCTGACCTCCACTCCCAGCATGGAGTGATCATCCTGCAATGCAACGAAGGATCCGTTGTCATGTTCTATATCACCCTCAGCTACATGGGCTTCCTGGCTGCCATCTGCTTCACAGTGGCTTTCCTGGCCAGGAATCTCCCTGGGGCCTTCAATGAAGCCAAGCTGATCACCTTCAGCATGCTGGTCTTCTGCAGTGTCTGGGTCTCCTTTGTGCCCACCTATCTGAGCACCAAAGGGAAATACATGGTGGCTGTGCAGGTCTTCTCCATCTTAGGTTCCAGTGCCGGTCTGCTGGTATGCATCTTCATCCCCAAATGCTTCATTATTATTCTAAGGCCAGGCATGAATACCAAGGAGCCACTTACAACCAAAAGAAATGTAAAAATGTAAGGAATTTCATTATTCAACATGCTCCAGTAGGCCAATCCTAGATATTAATTCAAGCTGTTCTCCATACTAAGTGAGCTAACTATTAATGATTAAAGGGCAGCTGGAAGGTATTGTCCCTCATCCTTGAATAATAGAATCACAAGACAGCCACTGAACTCTTCTGAGAAGGAAAGGCATCATATATTTCCTTTGTTCTTACTCTATGTGAGGCCTAAAATACCACTCCCAGATATTTGAAACATAACACTTGTACAATGGGAATTTTATGGGTATGCCAGAGATTATTTTTGGGGCTCCAAAAATGCTATTATTTTAGTGTATCTACAATTAAGGTTCTTTGCAGTGATGGACACAAAGTCACAGCATCAAAAAAGTTAAAGAAGAGAGATGGTAACATACTGCCCCATTAGATTTTTAGAAAAGAATTTCTATAGAATGGGATGAATGAACAAGGACATACATTCAGTTTTGCAACTACTAAGATTGTTGAATGAGCAGGCACAAACACAGCCAAGGAAGTGATTGAAGCCTGGGATATGAGCCCTTGTCAGTCAACAGGAGTGCTGATTTACCACAAGTTTATCAAGTACTTAGGAGATGAGGGCTTGGTGACACAAGGAAACAACAGCCAACAACTTAATTGCTAGCCATCAACACCCCAATCAACCACTAAAAAGCCACATACAACATATACCATATGTCAGCCTCCGCCTTTACTGCTTTGGCTGCCATAGTAATGGGAGGGGGGAGAGCTAGGTAGCATGGGGGGGAAAGCGTGCTGGAGGAATCGAAAGCGATAGTTAAACCACCGGACCGTATCTTTGAAGCTGCTGTCGGGTCAACGGTCATGGCATTCCTGATTGATGACGCTGCCAGATGTGTGCTTCCACCTGACCCCTGGGAGACCTTTGGATTGGATGATTTATGGTGGACAGTGGGAGGGGATGCTTTCTATATGCAATTTTTGCACTTATTGCCTTAGATTCTGCTTTCCTTTGGTTGCGTTCACTTCATTTTCTAGTAAAAGTACCTTTCTCTATAAACAATGGAGTTTGGGTCATTCTTTCCTGGACACCATATAAATACCATACACAGAATAGCCCAAAGCACGCACTCTGCTGGAGAGAAATTCCCTAAAGATGACCTCCAGCATAACTCCAAAAGCTCAGAAGACGAAATCTCTGGTCCCAGTTACCGACCCAGATTGGATCCTGCTACATGTTCTATTTATTACCATGAAAAAATCCACACAGAGCAAAAACCACATCAATGCATGGATAACCAGAAAATTTCATTGAACACAAGGCAACTTATAGAAGCATCGACAATGGAGCAGAAACTGCCAACACTTGGAGTGTTGGAAAGAGCTTCAGGCTGAGCTGATGCCTTAGTTGTAGAAGAATTTACTCTGGAGAGAAACTCCGTAAATGTATAGATTGTTGAAATGTATAGATTGTTGAGGACGAGTTGTTCTGTTCTTATAAAGTAACTTCTGTGGGGACATTTTCCACATAAAATGTGGAATTCTGGGATTCCTGTTATAAGGCAGTGATTAATAGGCTGATAAGTGAGTTGAAAATATTATGATGGCCAAGCACGGCACTTTGGAGCTCAATGTCCCAAAAGTGCATTATCAAGAGGCAATTGGACTTCCTTGTTTTTCTTTGAAAACATTTACAGTAGCTTCTCATCCAAGAAGCTCATCCAAGATGCTTCTTGGATGAGAAGCGAAACGTCTTCAAAGAAAAACAAAAAAGTCCAGTTGCCTCTTGAAAAAGTACCTTTGGGACAACCATGACCTGGATGACTAAGAATCTCCATAGACATTTGGGGCTCAATGTGCAAAGGGGCAGATGGAGAACAGTATGTTAGTGAAAAATCATAGATAAAACACCTGGGGCATTGTTCCGTAGTTATTCTGGCTTTTCCTACTGGGATATGTTAGGAAATTATCATTGGAAAATGAGAGTTTAAGCCCAGGTGAAAAACTTTTGATGTCCTTCTGGATAGTGTCTTCCCTTCTGTCCTTTTCAATATTAACAAGCCCCCGATAGGACAAGGTCATCCCCCATCCTTGTTGTTTGATATTGTTATATGCTGATGACACTGAGCTCTACTGATGGATGATCTATCTGAAACATTTGAATAAGGGGGACAGATGAGGCATTAGATTAGATCATGTCCATGTGACTCTCTCCTCTAGGGAATCTCATCACTCTCTGTGGATCATTGAGGACCATTCAGAGAAATGAAATGAGAGAAAAAAAATGTCTGGAATATTGTTGGTGTCAACAAAATACAAATTCAATCAAAGATATGTTAGAGTTGCTTTTAGAAGCTATCTTGTGGTGGTAAGGGAGTCAAAGCACAGTACTTCTGCACCCTTATTGTGCCCTTTGATATTTGCCCCAAGACCCTTTTTTTAGTTGATACAAGCCCTTTTGGGTAGAGGGTCTCAGAGAATCACTTGCAGGTTTGTGTGGAGGAATTTGTTCAGCATCTATTGGACAAAGTTGCTTAGACCTGTTCACATTTGGATGCCAGCTTTTTTGCAAGGCCAGAGGAGATGCCTGTGGAGGCATCTTGTTTGGTCATCTGGGAACAACTTGAACCTATTGGGCTTCAGGAAGCAGACAGGGTCCTTTGGATTGTGAGCTCAGCCACCAGCTCATTAGATCTTGGCTTCAGGTGTGTTATATGAATGGTTCCAGCAGTGGTTAATGGTTTGGTGCAACAAAACCATAGACAAATAGACAAAGTAGCCTATGGAAGATTTTGGAAGAGACTCAACTCTTCCCTCCAGCCAGACGTTCTCCAAAGGAGACTGAAGATTCCTACTCTCCCCAATTCCCTATCAAATGTAATTCCCCTTCAAATGGTCCAAAGTGAAAATTCTCATTTAAATGGTCCTAAAGTACTCATTCAAACAATCTAAAATTGTTCTTTGATGGGGTGGGCTGCATATGTTATTTTTATGTTTCTTAACACAAATAATCTCCATGGCCTGCCTGAGGAATCCTTCTTATTTATCAAGGAGAGGGCAAGCAGCATTAAAATTATGGTGGAAGGTCTTCTGAAGGAAGCCCCAAATGGTGGAGTATCCAGTTTGCTTCCTCCCCTCCCAATTCACAGCCCTTGTTCACATCCCACACCAGAGCAGCCAAATGTAGGTTGCAAAACTCTGGGTGCTTATGAGATAGTGCCAATGTCATCGCTGAACTGAACCTGGCAGAAACCATTTTCCTAGTTCATTGTTGCCACACAGTATGAGAGGGGGGGTGGAGATCAGAATGCCTTACTAGACACAAAATAGATCTTTCTTGTGGGAACCAAGGTCATCTCCTAGGTGATGGAGGAAAGCGGAGAAGAGTGCCTGAAGAGTCTGTCAATTAATCTAATTGACCAATGGTCACCAGTGACACTGGGGAAAGGGGTTATTACTATTTTTTAATTATGCTGAAACCGCGGGAAAGATTCCGAGTTGGTTTTCCATTAAGTGTGCCGATATGATGTACCCAATAAAGAAGTTCATTGAGAAAGCAAGTGGCCTCGGAGTTCTGATTTGCTTGGGTTTCTTAGTTGGAACCTTGACAGCCAACAGGATATGATGCATTCCCTTGTCTGGAATTGCCTCCATGTTGATGGGACTTGGTGAGGGAAATTGCCTCAATAAAGCAGCAAAACTCATGTGGAGTTTTTGTCTTCACAATCCTCTTATTGTTCCATCTTGATCCATCTCTTGATGTGAGCCATCCTGATGGCGTGTAGTTCAAGCTCAGCCTGAGCTGCCACCCAAAACCAGATTAAGTTACCCATTTTTAAAGATATTCCCTTAAATTTGGGGTGACACAATAGAGGTGCTGTCAGACTGCCCACAACTTAAGCCTATAAACAGAAACAATCCTTGGCTCCATTTGTTGAGAAATATATTGTTTTATTAGAGATCAAGCCAGAACTGAGAATTGTGCAGCAAAATTCTACTTTCCACCCAGTTGTTTTATGCTCCTCACTCCATAGTAACCAATCAAGTCCATGCAAGATGTTTTCATAAGGGTCAGTCCAAGCCAGGGGCGGGTTTCAAAACCTGTCACTACCGGTTTGCTCATGGGCACATGGGCACTTGCGTGCGCATGTGACACTTCTGCGCATGTGCAGAAACGTTCAAGCAGGTGGGGGGAGCCTCCCGCTGCCGCCATTACTGGTTCGCCTGATCCAGGGTGAACCGGTAGCAATCCACTACTGGTCCAAGAGCAGCTTGGTATGTGGCTCCCTCCTTCTTCGAGCTAGATGACCTTGGGGCAGTGTCTCAAGG